ATAACCAGCGGCAAAAGGTCCTCAGCTCACCGATGTGCACCAGGTCATGCTAACATGAGTTGTCTATGTTGCTCCGCAGCCCTTCTTGCTTGGGTTGTTCTTGCAGTGATTTCATTTGCCATGTGGCTGTTTGCAGAGTTCGTGAATAACCTGGTGGCGGTACTCAATGTCCTCGCATCCCAAGTTGCCACTGCCCTGGACACCCTGAACTTTTGCCCTGGCGGCAGAGCGAAGCCAGGAATCCGATCCCCGGATACCTCCCAGGGCTCCACGTAATTCCAGACATGGACTGCGCCCTCGCATCATCACGGAGCGCATCTCGTCAGAGCGGTCTTGCGCTCCCACTTGCATCAGAACCCGGCCTATGGATACTTCTTCTACCTGGTATATACCTGCACTATCCCCACCTCGTGATGCACGTCGGGATGCTGCTGAAGGCAACCCTGGTCACCGTCCAGAGACAATGTTGGATCGGTTACCACCGCCAAGACCTCTTGCTCCCAATCCCCCACGCAGCGATCGTGAGCCAGGACAAGCATCGTCTACCACGCCTGATTCGGATTCGGACGGTTCAGTTCGTCCACATCCGGGTGCTTCATCGTTCCGTCCATCTCCGACGGTGGTTCATGGACCTCGTGAACTTCTACAGGAAGTCACTATTGCCCTTCGCAATGTACATCTTGAACCGTTCACGGCATGGACGCAGGGTGAACTCGATAAGATGGTCAGACGCAAAAAGGACAAGGATTCCAGGCCCACCTACAAGACCATAGCCCGTTTCCTTCAGAAGCCCATTGAGGAAGTCAAGCAAGCCTGGAAGGTCTACCAGCGGCTTGAGGCTCGCGCTTAGTTGACCTTGCATTATGAGAGCGGAAAAACTCCCTTAGAGTGGCAATGCATTCCGTGGACGTTGCAGATCGACGATATGGTTTGCATAGCGGACATGGTAGATCGCATGATTCTTTCCTCATTGGCTTGAATGACATGGTTGGCATCCTTTGCATTGACGACATGGATGACATGCATGACATTGCTGACATTGACGGCATGGATGGCTGGCATGGATGACATCGATGACATGGATGACATGCATGGCAGGGCTGAAACCGCTTATCTCTCCTTGTCTTGCGGTTTTGAGTGTTCAAATCATGTTGGAGCAAGATGTGCAGACATTCATAACTTGGACCCACGGAGCGCAGCCGACGTGGTTACAGTTTCACGGACCCGGTACATTGCTTGACAGACCATTTCGATTGACTGCCTCACCGCCAACCCCGCCACGGTTCCCACTACTTCTTCCGCCTCCACCTCCTCCACCACCACCACCACCGGTGATTCTTCACCCACAGTTTATGCCCTCATTGCGAGCTTCCTCTAGCCCTTCTCCTCGAGGACAGTCATGCCCGGCCACCATGGGATCTCAGCGCACACGCCGCTCAGTTTGCAGCGCTGACCAATCCCGTGATGATGATCTACGCAGTCTCACGCGTTCTCCAAAACGCTCTCGAACAGCATCCGCCTCTGCCATGCGGCGTTCTCGGCGGCCCTTCACTGTGTTCCCTTCGACACGGGCTACTGGGAAAAGGAACCCAGAGTGGTGCCTCCCGTGCTGTCACTAGGCCAATACACTTCGAAGTGGTAGAACCTGCGCCATTCCCGATAGGTTGATGTGTCATCCGGAGCCGGTCCCAAGGCGGAGTCGGCGACTGGTTGCCACGGACCGGGCACATAGACTCGAATCCATTCAACGCTTGTGTTCGCAGGGCCATTGACGATGTCATACTCAAAGTAGCGTGGTAGGGACCATCTCGCAGTGCCAAATATTGTGGAATTGAACATACCAACCGAATAAGCCGCTTTGAGGCAAAAGGGAATCGGCGAAAGCATGGATATGGAGAAAACACAACACAAGCCAAGACAACCCAAGTTGAAGCTGCAAGCAAATCGGACAACAAGCGCAGCGTTTTAACCAACATGTTGTTCAAGCATCAATCCGACTCGTTCCAATCGAAATTGGGATCATAGCTCGTTGGGGGGGAAGGTTCCCGCCACGCACCATCAGGAACTGAAGACACCGAGGAAGTAATTTCTTCATTCACGAGCTCCGACGATCCAATAGTTGGTCGTGGAATGCCAAGGCGTTGATAACCTCGCGTGTTCCAGTCTCGGAATTCCCACACGTGATAGGACACGTACGAAATAGGCATGACATTGGGATCCGCAGCGGTGCCTCCGGTGCTGTCTGTGGGCAAGTACACATCGAAGTGAGATGACTTGCGCCACTCCCGATACGTGGAAGCGTGGTCCGGGGCTCGTCCCAGGGTGGCTGTGGCCACAGGTTGCCACGGGCCCGGTGTGTAAATCCGAATCCATTCCAAGCCTCTCTCGATGCGGTACTCAAAATAGTGCGGATACATGACAGCCAAATGTGTCGTCACAGTGCTGTTACAAGGAAGCGCAAAGCCAAGGGATCTGCGGCGAAACACTCATGCCATGACAAACTTGAATGCAATGTGCATGTGGCAAGCGGTGCAATGCAAGGCAACTTTTCAAACTGAAGGCAGGACGAATCAACAAAGTCTGTAGTGTATGGCGGCAATGATTCACCGCCGCTGATGACGCGCGCACCTGCAGTGATAATGTCCTGGTCGGCGACGAACACAGGGAGAAAGACATTTCCGTCCATGATGTAGAAAAGCATGACAGTAATGCTTGCAACTTGTCGTTACGGACCGTGTTGGACGAGCGGTCTCATATGCATCCTTTTACACATGGCAAAATCGTGACTGGCTCACCAGAGGATACCAACGGCTCGGCCATCCGCGCCCGAACATTGCGCGACCAGTTTTCCCTTCGGGATCGCCGGACCTCATGTACGCTGGATTGTCCTCTTTGTCGGCATCCTCGAGCTCGGATGGTGGCTGACGTCCGTCCTCGCTTTTCCATGATCTTCAATTTGATTGGGGTGAGTGGCCTCGACACCTGAGTCGCGCCTTGCTACAAACCGCGGTGTTCGGCGCTGCATGTGCTGTGAGTGCTGGATTGAGTGTCTTGCGTTTGCTTGGCATGTTTGTTGATACGTCGCATGAGGTGCTTGTTGTCTGCAGCCGTGTGCCTCTCGATTGTGCGTCTAGGGTTTGAGTTGTCATGCCGTGGCTGGAGTGGTGCCCGGATCCTCAACAACCAGACGCTCAATGGGTCAAGATTTTTCATCCGGGATCATGGGCACCACAAGATGAACGTGATGATCCGCCTCCGCCTCATACATACAGGGAGTGGAAGGAGTTCTATGCCCAAAATCTTGATCAAGATGGCGGGCAGCCCACCAAGAGCATTTGGTACAAAAGGGACTGGACCACAGAGGGCTACCGGCGTGCCGCACCCCCTGAAGCTGATCACGGCTTCAATTCGATGTCTCCTCATCAACATAGCGTGGCTACGCAATCTTCGGCTTTGTGTATGACCACGCAGATGTTGAACGCGATTCTTCGATCTTCGGATGCGTCGGCCTTCTCTACGGATGATCTCACTCGTCTTCAAGCTGGGATCTGTCAGCAATTATCGGATCGCGCGCGTCAAGCGTCCTACCAGCATCTCGTGGAGTTGAACCACCTGAGTCTATTGGGGTCGTTGACCCAAATTTGACTGCGAGCCAACCATGCAGTTCTACCAACAAGGAGAAGCCTATCTTCGAGCTAGGCGATGCATAGACTGATGCGCTTTGATCATGGCATAAAAGAGTGTTTTCTCTTGCTCTTGCTTCCATGTGTGTTTGCAGGTTGTGCATGGTTGTGCCAGGTTGTGCATCCCTTGCTAGCTGGATCGGAACCTGCGGTACGCCCTGTCTTTCACTTCGACATGGACATAGATGATACGACTCAGGCGTCGGCCCGAACTGCCGAGCAGCACCCATGGCTCGAATATTCCGTCTGGCATGATCAGGAGTGGGTGCGGATCTACACTCCAGGACAACTTCAACTGTGGCACCCAGAAGAGGCAGTACCTGACCTACCAGACAACTCGTTTGAGTGGAAACGGGTAACTGATCCAATCGATGGGACTGGTGAATCCAGTCAAGCATGGACAATTCGTGACTGGCAACATCAAGGTTACCAACGCATTCTATCTCGCTTTGAGTCCTTCTCACTCATCATGCTCAGGATCAACCACTTGTTGACGTGCAAAATTCGGACATCATCCGGGTCGAGGAGATGTTCACCTATGCCCCCCCTATTTCTGACGGTGATCGCTCGACTGCTTTGCAGCTTCCTCCGGTCTTCTATGGCGGCACACGTCTTGCTCATCTTGGAGATCTTTCGTCCCCGTCTTCTGAGCGGCTTCGTGCGGAGCGTGCAGTTTCGCGCTCTCCCAGACGCAGCGGATATTTTGGTAGACGTTAGCAAGGATGAGCCGATTGTGTGATCTTCCGACGGGAACAAAAGACTTTCGCCCCTCACTGAGGGGCGTGTGTGCGGAGTGGCAGAATACCCTGTCACCACAATTGAGCGCAGGGGAGTGCGGCATGACTGAGGGACCGCACTCAACGAAGCTACCTCAGTCATGGGATACCGGATCTGATCAATCCGGCGTACCTGCTTTCCGTGATTCTGAGTGTCCTTTTGGCCCCCTTGGTTGTGGCGCTGTTTGTGCTTCTTGTTCTTTCGGGCAACGTTTTCGACACTAGAGGGAAGCCGAGTGCATTGCGAGCCGAAACTTATGCATGAAGAACCTTATCCAAGCCGAGACTTACCAGTTGTACTCGAAAGATTAGCACCCTCCATCTGGAGTTTAAGTGTGTGTGTGCGCGTGTGCTTGTGCTTGCGCTTGAGCATGTGCGTGCCTGCGTGCGTGGGTTTGTGTGCGCGCGTGGCAGGTACCCTTTTGGGGGCTGTTTGCAAGGAAAGCCAAAGAAAAGACACGCGTTTTGAGGGTTCCTTGTCCTATTTGTGGTCAATCCCTTTGGCCTCTGATTGGATGCCCGTGAACCTGGCGTGCCCAAGGCTGATGCACCTTCCTTGAGCACGTCGCATTGGCCTCGGCAAGATGCTGGACTGTCCATGTCATGCAGTGCATTTCAACTTGGATTCAGATCCCATGAGGCTGCAAGGGACCCCTGCGGTGGGTGTTTGGTATTTGGGCTCGGGAGTTCAACTGGATTTCCATTCAAAGGCTGGGACAGAAAGCTGCATGCTATATTAAGTTGTCATGGGGCTCCACACGATGTGCTGAGCTCACAAGTTTGAAGCATTCAACACATCCCGGGTGTGTTGTCCTCATCTTTTGAAAAGAGGCAACCGTCCACTGGAACAGCTTCTTTGTCCTGACTGGAGGGCTATCCACAAGTCTGGGCTGGTTGCAGGCTCTATTCAGCTTGACAGGATACTCAAGCTTAGTGTCATGCGATCCTTTTGTCAGGTAGATGTCCACCTTTTCCTGCGGAAGAGGGGCTTTGTGTTTCCTTCGCCTGTTTCGCCTTAGGCACGACAAGGACCCCACGAACATGGTGGACTATCCGCTGACCTCCAGCAGTGTCACCACCGGCACGCCGGAGGCAGTCGAAGGGTGCATGTCTTGTTTATGTAGCTTTTTATGGCTACTTGGTTGGATCTTTGGACTTTAGCTTTTGGGGATCATTGAGTTTTCCATTGGAGGGTGGAGGGGTCAACAGAATCCAAGAACTGAACCCTCAAAATGTGACATCTGACGCAGAACACTGGCAGGTTTAACTCTTTGACGCGGAGGAATGCATTTCCTGCAAAAATGACATCCTTGGGGATCTATGTGAGCCGTCAGAAGATCTTCTGGCATCATGTGTTTCTCGAACTTACCCAGAGCGGTTCAGCTTCAAACTGTCATTCAAAAAGGGCCCGCTAGTGTTGAAATCCCTGAAGCCCGAACTGATTCACAGTGATTCCTTTCAGGCCGCCAGCGTAATCGCCGGTGAGTACTTGGTGCATTACTGCCCGCCGGAGTCGAACCAGGTCGGGGCGAACCCTGTCAAGTGCAGCGTTGCGGATTGGCGTATTCGGATGGTTGCATCGTTATTGTAAGCTCAACAGCCCAAAAAGTGCTTTGTGTGTCCTATGGGCACTGCGAAAGTATGGCCTGCCCCACAATCTTGGGACATTGCCCATTGCAACAATGGCCCACTTTCTCCTTTTTGTTTTCAAACACTCCCCAAAAGCCTGCTTGCGATTTGAACCTGGGGTCCTACTCACTAGCTGGCCAATTAAACAAGCCGCATGCCCACTTTGGAAACTGTTGGCCCTTCCATAATGGTGGCACAAAACGCCATCCCCCTTTGGGGATGTCATTGCTGACCTTTGTTTTCCTCCAATCCAAGAAGGGTGTGTCTGATTTTTAGGCACTCCGCAGTGGTGGTCCTTTTCGTTTCCCTTTTAAACCACAAGGGGGTTACCATCAGAAAAGACGGACGCAGAAAGCTCTCTGTCTCCAGGAAACACTTTGTCAGGTTTGCGCACCCATGGTGCCACGCTGCCAGGTTGCTTCGTCACCGAGCCCCGTCTGGACCTCGGTTCGGCTGGACTCGCATGGACATTGAAATCCCTGAAGTCATGCGCCAGAGATCTATTCTTAGGGCTTCTTGAGCTGACCCTGGGACATCCGGTGAATGCATGAGCTTTCAGGAAAGTCAAATGGATTCTGGATTTGTTAGAACACAGCAGGCATTTGTGTCTATTGTGAGGGTGGCACAAGGAATTCATGATGTAAACGCAGCGTAACCTGAGCGCTTGGAGCCATTCCTCAAGCGCAACGGGAGAGCACACGTTGACAGTTGACCAGGTATTTCTAAGCAACTTTTGGAAGCTTTGCCAGGCATGAAGCCATTTTTTAGTACAAAAGCGGGGTCGCTCTGTCAGGATTTGCGAAACAACTCTTTGCCGTCCTACTTCCAGAAAGTCAAACATCCACAAGCTCACGCGCCACATCTTTTCGACATCTGTTCTCAAGAACGGCCATCGTGTCACTCAGCCCCGAACTCTGCGCAGTTCTAATCATTCTATTCAAGGCACTTGTTTGCTGGACTTAGCTTGACTCAAATGGCGAGCTGCGAGGTGGAACGCCAATTTGGAAATTGGACAGATTCTCTTTCAGATGTTGGCAAGGAATTGAATCGGATGTTTGAAGCACCCAGCTTTCTTGACCCTGAGTTTTTTCCCCACCCTTTGCAGAAACTGGGGGCCAACAAAATCAGGTTGGACATTTTAAAGGTGGTTTCGTAGATGAAATGTTGCTCAGGATTTTATCTTCTTATTGTGCGCCAATATGGGATTCTTGGATGAAGCAAATCTCGCGCAATGAGTTTAACTGGAGGGGAGAGGTTTCGGCCCTAGGCTCCACTCCCTGGGGGCTTCTACCAGGAGACCAAGGAAAACTCTGGGCCTTCTGTGCCGGCGGGGGAGGGGGGAGACTCGATCTGGGGGCCAAGAGTTGCGGCGAGCCAGTGCATGAGCGGCCACAGTCAGGGCCGGCATCTCAAGTTAGTGGTCAGTGCCCACAACGCCTCAAGGTTGTGCCCATTGCAAGGGGAACACAGATCACTGAAGACGTGCATTCTTTGATGCGCCGAGAAATTGTCTCGGACTTTTGTCCGAGTGGATGATTAGACACATTTTCGCTGAATCTCACAATACATCCCGATGATCGAGACTATATTCCAAGCTGCAACCAAACTGCAGCGAGCATAAACCGGCCAGACTTGACCGATTGGACCTCGTCTTTCACGGCCCCGACCAAGCTTGACCTAAGCATTCTAATGGTTTGAAGCAAGCGTTGCTTTTCGTGCATATCAACCGCCCGACCCCGTGGGACCGTTCGCGATGGTACCCGCATTGAATAGGGCGGCGGGTGATGGCGGGTTGGTGGGCGGAGGGGGAGGTTGGTTGGATGGGTCTTGGAGGGGCAGGGCGTTTTTTTTCCTCTTGCTTGGTGAGTTTGATAAATTTTGTTGGTAGATTCTGGCAACTAACTGGCTTGGGCCATGACAAATGGTTTGTACTCCTTGGCATGATTTCTTGCGGATTCATTCCAGATATGCTTGCTTGCCTGGTCTTGAACACAACATGCGGAAAATGGAACCCGTGGCCATGATCAGATCATCCATCCTCACAGCAGCTCCTGCACACTTCCTTTACCCGCGTTGTCTGAGGGGTCCGGCCCAACTTCCCTTTGATGTGTCAATCTTGGACCATCTTCAAGGCATGTTGGTACGAGACTGAGTCCGTGTAGTTTTCTGCCCTGGAGCTGTTCAGAAAGCAGCATACACAGCGAGAAAGGGGACCTTTGCCAGTTGAACGAGGGCATTTCTCACATCTGCTCACAGCACAAGGGAACCTCACATGTGGGTGTTCCCTACGCAAAGGGGCCCGCTGATATTTTCTGCTTGAAAAGGCTTGGCAAGTTGGCAAGGCTTGGCCACCAAGAATCCTTGCAAGCGGCATGCTTGGGCAAAAGCCACTGTCATAGGGCTAATAGGGAATCTTTCCCAGCAGCTTTGTGGGCTCGGAGCCCTCAAAGGAATTTGATGAGTGAAAGAATGGCAGTAGATGACGTCAGTGATGACAACATTCTGCCGTGCCACAAAAGGCGTATGCATCAGCTCCTATTGTTGTTTTGGGTGCCAGAAATCAGCGGTCCATGAAAGCATGCTGTCAGACTCCCCAACACATGCCAATCCCTTTTTGGGTTTGCGCCGCCCCTTTTTTGAGCATCCCATTGCCTAATATGTTGCGGGAGTGGGCACTGCCCATTGATTTTGCCGAGATGCGACGCAGGTGATGGTCATTGCCCTCCTCCTCATTTTGGCTGCCATAGGTGCACGGGGAGCAATGTGGAACCACAGGGCGGCGGGTGGATTGCAGGGCAGCGATCCGCCTTGCTTAATTTTTCTGTGGAGAGAGAGAGAGAGAGAGAGAGAAAGAAAGAAGGAAAGAAAGAAAGACAGAAGGAAAGAAAGAAAGAAAGACAGAAGGAAAGAAAGAAAGAAAAGAAAGAAAGAAAAGAAAAGAAAAGAAAAGACAAGAACAGAAAGAAAGACAGCAAGAAAGACAGCAAGAAAGACAGAAAGAAAAGAGAGAGAGAGAGAGAGAGAGAGCGAGAAAGAAAGAGCAGAAAAGAAAAGAAATAAATAAAATAGAATCAAGGAAAATAAGAAGGAACCGAAAGAAATAAAGAAAGAGCGAAAAAAAAAAAGAACGGAAGGAAGAAAGGAATAAAGCAAGAAATAAAATAAAATCAAGAAAGAAAGAAAGAAAGAAAGAGGAGAGAGGGGGCAAGAGAAGAAATGTAAGTCAAGAAGGCAATAGTGATAATGGATAATCGGTTTTCCACGGCCTCGGAACAAGGCACGGGTGTGAGAGACGTGTGTGTGTGTGTGTGTGTGTGTGTCGGCTGCGGCAAGGCAAGGAGGTCAGGCAAGGAAATGTAGCGCTGTAATTGTAATGAGATCTTAATGCAATTGACGGCCATATGATTTAATGTAATGCAATGCAATGCAATGTCACGTAAAACAATGCAATGCAATGCAATGTAATGCAACATAGCACAATATGATGGAATGTTATAAACAAAAAACGATGTAATGCAACGTAATGCAGGGAAATGTAAGTCAATGCAACGTCAGAATGCAACGGTGTGCAATGCGATGCAATGCAACGTAATGCAAAGGTACCCGCAACTGCAACTGCAACTTGAAGCAAGATATGTTGTAACACAACGCAACAGAAGCTAACGCATGTCATGCACGTTTTTTTCTTTGCTTGCTTGCTCGCTTGCTCGCTCGCTTGTTTGTTTGTTTGTTTGTTTGTTTGTTTGTTTGTTACGTTGCACTACATTACCTTGCAGTACATTATTGTTTCCATTCCATTCTATGCCACTACATTGCATTGTATTCCATTGCATACAACCAGAAAAAGAAACAACAACAACCAAGCAAACAAGCAACCAACCGTAGTGCAACGTAATGCAATGCATAATATAGTGCAAGGAAATGGAACGTAATGTAATACAATGTAATGTAATGTAACGCAATGTAATGTAATAGAATGTAAGAATATGCAATATATTAGAACGCAGTGCCATTCAATGCAACGCAATGGAATGTAATTTACTACTACATAATATAAGGCAATGCGTTGCAATGCAATATAATATAATTTAATGTAATGTAATGTGGGTATTGACTGCTATGGTATGTACCTGAGACGTTGCGGTTGCCTTTACCTCTCGGCCGAGCGGCAAATCACTTTTCGGATGCACAGCCTCATATTCTCAGACACCAAGTTGCTGACCCTTGTTTGGCCGAACAAACATTTGGCCCACCAAAATTTGGTCTCGCTCGACTGTCCAAGTTGCGCAGGCGCCCTGGGCTACTACTGGATGAACCACAAAAGCCGGGGACCCGAATGGCTGGGCTTGTTTCAAGTAGCGCATTCTTGCGGGCATGCCCAGCGAGGATCCACAGTAGAACTTGCGGCTCGTTGAAAGAATCTGCACAAGGAAAAGGCAATCTGGGGTGGAGGCCTTATACGGCACGCGCCCCCCTCCGTGCTCTCCTCCCTTCTACCCTTTCCAGGCATTTCAAAGCAGCCGAGGCAGCCGCAAGGTTTCGTCGCACGCCAGCGCCGGCCCCAGCTGTTGATTCATTGATTTTGCTGTTTTGCTCCGATGTGTTGCAATTTTAGAGCATCCATGGCTAAAATCATGTAATTGGCAAATTATACACGTGGTTCGGCCAATATCCTTTCAGAACTGCCGGGGATTTGTTCTGCTGTCCCGTCCGTGCATCCATCCGGGCACTTGTTTGTTTGCTTGCTTGTTGTTTGTCTGTCTGTTTGTCTGTTTGTTTTCCTGCTTGCTTGTTTGTTTGTTTGTTTGTTTGTTTGTTTGTTTGTTTGTTCGTTTGTTTGTTTGTTCGTTTGTTTGTTTGTTCGTTCGTTCGTTCGTTCGTTGCTTTTTTGCTCGTTCGTTCGTTCGTTCGTTCGTTGTCTTGTTTGTGGCTGCGTCGTCCTGTAAACGCGCGCTCAAGCGCGTGGTTTCCCCATTGTAATGGACGCACAACTCTTCAAATCATATGATGTTTCACACATTTCGAGCGTCTCCGCCTTCGCGCCGCAACAGGATAAGCACACCCGCTCCAGTGACATCCGCTCAGCATTGCGCACATGCTGGCACATGATAAGCATACCCGCTCATCCGCTCAGCAGTGCGCACATGCTGGCACATGATAAGCACACCCGCTCCAGCATATCCGCTCAGCAATGCGCACATGCTGGCGCATGATAAGCACGCACATGCTGGCACATGATAGGCACACCCGCTCCAGTGCATCCGCTCAGCAGTGCGCAGATGCTGGCAAATGATAAGCACACCTGCTCCAGCGCGCCCGCTCAGCCGTGCGCACATGCTGGCACATAATAAGCACACCCGCTCCAGTGTATCCGCTCAGCACTGCGCACACGCTGGCGCATGATAAGCACACCCGCTCCAGGGTATCCGCTCAGCACTACGCACATGCTGGCACATGATAAGCACGCACATGCTGGCGCATGATAAGCGCCCCCGCTCCAGTGCATCCGCTCAGCCGTGCGCACATGCTGGCACATGATAGGCGCACCCGCTCCAGAGTATCCGCTCAGCACTGCACACATACTGGTGCGATTTGGACTCAGACTCTTTGTGGCTGCGCCCTTGAGAGAGGCAGGATCTTTGGTGCTAGCAACTCTGAGAACAGCAAGGCCGTCTATCCCTGTGAACTGCCAACGAAAATCAAGGTGCCTTTTCGAAACCCACTGTAAAAGAGGGGGTGACGTTCTTGTCTTTTCGCGCGTTTACGGGTCGATGAAGCGTTGTTTGTTTGTTTGTTTGTTTGTTTGTTTGTTTGTTTGTTTGTTTGTTTGTTCGTTGGTTTGTTTGTTTGTTTGATTGCTTGTTCGTTCGTTCGTTCGTTCGTTCGTTGGTTCATTTGTTCGTTCGTTCGTTTGTGTTTGTTTGTTTGTTTGTTTGTTTGCTTGCTTGCTTGTTTGTTTGTTTGTTTGTTCGTTGTTTTGTTTGTTTGTTTGGTTATTTGTTTGTTTGTTCGTTGGTTCATTTGTTCGTTGGTTCATTTGTTCGTTCGTTTGTTTGTTTGTGGAAGGAGTGTTTGTGATGTCAAATTGGACCAAGTCCAAAGTGTTTGTTTATGCGGGAAAAGTATCCTCATTAAATTTTCCATAGGGTGCTGACTATCGTGGGTTTTGGGAACGCCTTTGTTGTTTCCAAGCACGGCTTTGTTCACAGGGATGGGGCCAGGGTAAGCCTCGAACCTGGCTCTTTGGTTATGGCTGATGGCGACGTCAAAGGGGGGAGGCTCTGCAAGTGAATTGGACGAGCACGAGGCGGACAAAACTGGATCACGCACGCAGGGGGCGGGCCCAATCAAGTGCCGTGTGAGGAATTCATCAGGCATGCGAGGCGCGAAGTGACGCTGGGGGTGTCGACCAATTTAATCTGCGGGGTGTCAGAGAAGTTGAGGGTGAAAGAGGTTCGAGGTTAGACGAGAAGCTAGACGTTCGAGAAGTGAGTCGTGCTCAATATCTGCCAGCCCATCCCCTGGACTCCCCCTATCCAACCACTAGGAGCACGCTTCGCCGCTTTAGCAAAGGGTTGGCGGTTTTCACACGCGCAATCCAGGGAAAAGTGCCCGGGTGGGGGTGGTTTTTGCCAGATAGACCAAGTGAGCACATTTTCAATGGTTGGTGGGTAGCTGTTTGCTGGTGAGACTATGCTTTGAGGATTGGCGGAAGAGGAGCTGAGCGGGGACAGGGGGTTGGTGACAGGGTCACAAAGTTAGAGGACCGTGGATCAGTTTTGAGGCATTTTTTTTTTTTTTTTAAACTTATTTGTTCTAGCCCAGCGGAGTGCTGATTTACGAGGGATGCTTGATCACTTGCTGAGGGTCCGGGTTGTGCAACACCAAATCTCCGGTTTGGCCGAGTGCCCGGCTTGGCTCTTGGAGATAGGGGGCCTTGGTTGCTGGTCCTTGGAGCAAGACCACCTGTAAGCCCACGTGGCAAACCTCCCATTTTATGAACCTGCAGTCCCTGTGTGGTAGGTGCGGCCCGTGTTTTTACTCGGAGTGCGGCAAGCTGAGCCTCCCTCCTTCGTGGTTTTTTGCGAAGATGGATGTACTTGTAACCATGGCCACAAGAGTTCCCGCATTTCTCCAACCATGGCCACTCAGCTGCCTTCTCCCCCGAAGGATGACGACGACGATTACTCGCCGAAGATGGTGCCCCTTTGGGGGGCAGTCAGCTGGTGTTTGCCCATATTGGATGAATGCCCGGTTATGCGATGGCTTCTGCTCGCAAGCAAAGACCTGTGAACAGACTTCAGGGATTTTACGGAACCAGGGCCTCTGTTGCTGTTACTGGGCAGAAATCCAGAGGTGACGTGTCAGGATTGATGCTTGGCGCTCCTTGTGTTTCTTCCCACGGTAGACCCATTTATGGACCCGATTCCCCCTTTTCCAGACTCATCTTATAAAGCCTCATTGCAAGGACCTCGTTTTGTGAAATCCGATGTTATTGGACACAATGTGAACTTTATTGCATATGACATTTTGTGGACTCCACTTTCGAAATCCAATCTTCACAGGCCCCGTTTTTTGAACCCCTCTGCGGGAACACCATTTTGCCAATCCGTGACTCTCCCACCTGGTGACTCGACAGGCATCTTCCGCTCAGGGGCAGTATGCGCAGGGGTGCTTGGAGAGGTGGCACCGACTCGGTGGTCGAGGGCAAGTTTCTAGTAAAGGGCTGGCTATTAGCAGCCGGGGGAGGCACGTTGCGACAGAAAAGAGCCATGCGTTCCACTCTCACAATGACCAGAACACAGCTTGCCACATGCTTGCCATTGAACAACTTTGTGCTTTTTGGGGCACCCTTCTCTGCAGAACTTGAGCCAAGGTCCTCCGCTTACCAGCAGCCGCCTTCGCCGCCAAGGTTTGATTTGATCGGGAGGGAAGGGCGTGCTGAAAATCGAACCACGACGGGCGTGCCGCCTTCATTTCCGAGGTTTGCATTCCTTGCCTGTCTTGGATTTGGCAGTTGGACATGTTGGCGGTCTGAGAACTTGTGGGGGTAGACTTGCCAAGAGTTCAAGAGCGCAGCCTCGATGAAGGGTTGCATCATGTTGGCCTGGAGCTGGAGCGAGAGGAGGAAGCTCAAGCACAGAATGCGGCGAAGGCAACTTGTCTAGGGGCTTTGCAGATGTTCGCAGTTCGCCTCAAAAAACAAGCCGACATGCTTTGTAGGTGCCCGGTGGGAGATAGGTAGGTCACATGTATGTGACCAATGTCTTGGTTTTGGGTGACAGGCTGGCCTATGTGTTTTGGGTGCATGATTTTTCAACGCAGTCATCATTCAAGCATGTGTTTCATCCACCACCTCGGCAGCAGAATTGCCTCGTCTAATACTTGGCTGTCGGGCAGTTGGTCAGTTGGGCAGGCCCATTTCTGGAATTTCTGGAAGGCTTGGTTTCCGCAGGGAATACGGAGGATGAACAATTGTGAAAAAAATCAAGACAAAGACACTTCTGGTTGGTACTCTGGAAGATTCACAGTCAGAGCATTCGGTTCATGGCAACGGCGGCACACCGGCCAGGGATTGCCTCAAGCTGGACCGTTTTTTCCAGGGCCGCTGCTTTCCCAAATAAAGGTTCGCCCGACTTTAGGTCTTTCATGCAATCAACAGACGGAGCCCGTCCCAGCCGAGATCGGATTTCCAGGCAGCCGGCCTATGGCGGTTACGGCCAGGGCGGTTACGGCCAGGGCGCGCAGGCGCCCACCATGAACTTCCAGGCGAGCCTCGCCTCGCCTCTTGGCGAGCGGGAAAAACACTTGTCAAACCAGTTGGCTTTTCCGCTCACATGATCGAAGTATGTTCGTCGAGTCGCAGACCGTGCGTTCTGGCCAAAGTCTCGCTGATCGATTTTCCATGGAACCCATTCCCAGTTTGGATTGACCCAAAGCACGAGTGCAAACATCAAAGAAGCCATTCCGAGTCTTGTTGTGTCTTGTTTTACAGAGGTTGCAAGCGAGGGCTCAGATGCATCAAAGTAACCGATAGACTTGCCTATGACTAGCTGGGTGAGAGACACAGAGAGACACAGAGAGACACAGAGAGACACAGAGAGACACAGAGAGACACAGAGCGACACAGAGAGACACAGAGAGACACAGAGAGACAGAGAGACACAGAGAGACACAGAGAGACACAGAGAGACACAGAGAGACACGGAGAGACACAGAGAGACACAGAGAGACACAGAGAGACACAGAGAGCCGTTTTTGATGCTTCCAAATGGAAACCACAAGGAAACCCCAATTTTTGTTGGTTCCTCTGATGATGTGTTTCCTGTTGGCCAGGACAAGTGCCAGAACAGCAATCCTACGCAGACAGGCACACACGCACACACACACACTGAAGGTGAGAAGAGAAGCAATCACATCTGAAACCGCGTCAGGCATGCTCCTGTTTTGCGCCGTGAGGAATCTTGGACACAAGGGGATCCAGATGAAAAGTCATAGCAACAGCAGTTACACCCAGGTGCGGTTAAGAAGGCCATGGACCCCTCAGACCCTTTAAAAGGGAGCTCCTTTGGCGCGGATACATCGGCCCTACAACCAACAACTTTCCATTTGCCCAGCGGCCTGAGGGAAAAGGACACTGGATGCCACAGACTCGACCCGTTCCAAGATGGGACATAGGGTGTCGTGTGCCGATTCAATCAGGTGCCTTTTCATTAGGGGGACCATGGGGGGCGAGCTTGCTGCACACATATTTAGCTGAACGATGCTGGACATGCGGCTAAGTCATGGGATGTAGATGAAATGTGTTGTAGCGTTATGGCCCAGCCGTCCGTCCATAGTTGTGCAAGTATTTGATCCGCCAGGGCCAGTCGCCGATGCCATTGCTGAACCAGGCAGGATGTCATTCCAGTGGTGTTTGCTTTGATCCGGGCAAACACTGTGTTGATGCTACATTGCGTAGCAAAAAGATGGGTTGTTGTCGGTTTAAAGACCAGTGGCTTGTTGGACCATTCACTTTACCACTGCTGGTGCACAGGTCTCTAGTGTCAACAACCTGACTTGCGCCACATTTGTGTCTTTGGACTGCGGGAGGTTGCGGTTCTTCCTCAGTTTCAACTATCCTGGAAGAGAAACATGTTGTAACATGTTCAGCGCATGTATCTTGAAGATGACACTGTAATGCATTCACCCGGTATACACATTGTATGCCACGGTCTCAAAGCTTGGCTGTTAAAAAGTCCATCAAAAACGCTGCAGCTTGCTGCTTGTTCAAGTGGCTATCACATTGTAGCTATTTGGCTCGCCCCCTACATTTCTAGGTGGGAAGAGCGCTTGATTTGGCTCCGTAAATCGTCCGTTGTATTTTTTGTTTTCCTTTTTTTTGTTGCGAGCAAGGAAAGTGCTCAGAGCTGGGAGCGCCCAGGGAGTTTTGACACGGCAATCATCGGAAGTTGGAACTTGTTCCGCGTGAAAGTCATTTCTCGAACTTCCGTAAGCCACAAAAGTTTTGGAAGAGGATGCCAGGTCTTGAGGGGGACAACAGCACAAGACGGGGCTTGCTTGTTGCCATGCGCGTTAAGATGTGCGTGGCGTGTCACGCATGCGCCGCGGGCATGTCAGAACTAAGTTGTTTGAGAAAAGGCCTGGAGCGGGGAGGCAGTTAGGTGGCCGCCACATCTAGCAAACTTGTACACTTGCGAGAGCTTGACACTGCTGTGCGTACTGCGAACCCTCGCGAAGAATCGTTCTATCACCGTTGCCACCAATTGTCCGAGAGGTGAACCGAGCTGGCAACAAATTCCATCATGAACCGTGGTTTTGGTCCTTTTGATGATGGCATATCAGGTGAATGGAGCTTGCTCATGGGTGTTGACAGACAATCTATAGGTAGACCACTTGAATCGGCATGGTTGCCATCACGTTCAATCCTTGCGCCCATGAACTGTTGACGACATGTTGCCATGTACAAAGGAATGTGTTGAAGTCTTGGTTCAAACTGCCTTTGATGGAAGCAAGCTAAGAGAAGCAAGATGACAGCTGGTCGTTCAGTTCCTGAGCTTTGCAGCTTGAATATTGTGGGATGCCAACAAATTTGTGATTTGGGATTGGGAGAATATCATTCTTTTCCGTAGGGTGGGATAAAATGGACGTGACACTTTAACAAACCAGCTTAACAGATATTCTCGTTGCTAGGGCCCTGAGTTCCTAGCTCCTGGGCATTTCATCATCGCCTGCTTAGGGCGCGCCCTACGGCTCCGCGAGGGGACAGCCATACCCAGGCCGAATGGGCCCATCGGGGCATGTGACGCCAACGTCTCAAGGGAGGGACCGGTCAAGGGACCCTATTCTTTCCCACTCATGTGTCCAGACCAACCAGCCGCAGCAGTCCCAAATTCCTTTGAAGGCTGACAACCGCCAATAGTAGCCAGAATGATCAGGTGTTTCAACCCCGGCGCAAAAAGCACGTAGGCTTGTTTTCAGAAACCTTATTTGATTGCTGCCGCTTGGGGGGTCTGGAAGGCACGGTCTTGGCAGGTGCAGGGCTTTGATATCAGGGCTTGACTTGTTGGAGGAGAAAGCGACTTTTGCTGCCACCAACACTGGACCCCTCCCCTCGGGTTGAATTTCAAAAGGAACAAAGGAGAAGCCAACCTGCTGCTGTGCTCTCCATGACCCGGACTCGTCAAACGGCAAAACGGCTTCCGGGTGGCTTTTTCCTTCGCGCGGTATACCATTTTGCTATTTGCTGCATTACCGCACGCACTCTAGTTGTCAGGGTCCCATGAAGTGATCTACCCACAGGGTGTTTGGGTTCGAGCGGGGAGTCTCTTCGAGCCCCGGGCAATGGAGGGCATGCATTATGTGGAGAGGTCACAATGCTCGGCTGATGTGAGTGACGTGCTAGCGTGGATCTTTTGCCTGGAACTTAGTTCACGTACCATACCGGCAGATCTGGCCACCAATGTGTGGATGGGAGTAGATTGCCAGGCTGCCTGGCCCCGGTCGCTCGGTGGTTGCCTCTACGGTCCCGATCGATTCGGCCACATGGGACACGCTTTTCCCCACAAGCGGAGGGGAGCACCGAGATGGCCACCGGCAAAGCTGGGAGGGTGGACAGCCAGCCAAGCACCTTGCCAACGCCTATGGAGAAAAGGAAAGGGATGCCTTCCACGGTCAGTGTTGAACCCAGGCTTGTCCTGCAAATCAAACTGGGTGGGGCATTCGGCATTGGCCCTTTCAACAGGCCACGTTTGAGCGGCGTTTAACCGCGACGTGTCAGCAAATGAACAGGTGGGTGAGTCTTCCTTTCATGTCCTTCCTGCCATCCCCAAGCCCTCGTGCTTGCTTTCTGGCTCTTGCTGTTGATACATTTTGCAGTGGGAAGAGCCACTGCGAACACGCCCTTGCAGAGTGGATTAACTAGTTTATCTCTCCACAGGCACACCGACACGCATTCAGACAGACACACTGACACACCGTCAGAGAGACATATACATATATATATATATATATACACACCGACACAGACGCACAGATGCAGACAAACAGACACACACACACACAGACACAGACACACGCACACAGTCACACACACACACACACAGACACACTGACACACCGTCAGACAGGCGCACACACACACACACAGACACAACGACACAGACGCACACAGACACACCCACCCACACACACACACACACACACACTGAAAGTCCACAGACGCACTGAAAGCCCAGAGACGCACAGACGCACGCAGCACAGACGCACAGACGCACAGACACACGCACACACACACAGCTCTCAATGTGGGCGGAGTGAAGGTTGCATAGCCTTGGAATTTGTTTGATTGTGCTTTCTCAAGCGGTGGCTTGTGCTAAATGGACAGGACCTGTACAGCTGCGCTCACTGCTGCATGTTGCCTTCTTTGTGACTGTTTCTTCTGCCGGCTTTGCATGTACACTTCGGGCACGGGTTGTTTGATCCTTGGGCGGTTTGTACCCATTCCAACCGTTTTGTGGGGCCTTCTTCCGGATTGAAGACTGATCCGAGTTTTCCTCTAGCACGGAGCTCGACTGGTTCCGCTTGAGATGTTTATCATCATGATCAGTGTCATCATCGTCATCATCATCGTCATCATCATCATCATCATCATCATCATCATCAGCATCGTCGTCGTTGTCGTCGTTGCTATCATTCATTGATGTTGATGCCTTTCGCTTTTGGGCGTTGGTTTTGTGGCATCCGTCGCGAGGGGGAGACCCGCGTCAGCAAAAAGGAATTTGGCCTGCAAGGATGCATGCTCAGCTGCGCTGCTTGAATGCATGCCCCTCACAGCCCCTGCCTAATCATTGTCCTTCAAGGCTGGAGGAACTGGTGGCTCGCGCGGCTATTTTGTTGCTCAACTTCTCAAATTTCCAGGCCTCATTGGGGCCTTGAGGCAACATACTTGGGCAGCTTCCAAGCCATCTGCCCCAATCACACATGCGAAAGAGGATATCTTGAGAGCAAGACAATGTATCAGCAAACATGCGTGGCTGCGAAGTGGCATACACACATATCAGCCTTCCAAAGCCTTTCTCTCTCTGGCCCTCCAAACACTAACAAAGCATCAAATTGGGGGGGGGGGGGGCGGATACAACCACTATGTATCCAGTCGAGGGTATGCACATCCAACAAGCCTCCCCCTCTGTCCCCCGCCATGTGCCCCGAGCGCCTGCGTCGCCTCTCGGTGCCCGGAGCTGCGCTCGGCGTGGCGCTGCTCAGCGCCTCCCGGCGTGCCTCCCTCGCATTGCAGGCGCCTGGGTCGGGTCGAACCGTTGGTCTTTTGATTGGAAAGAAGCAGAGGAAGGTTGGTGTGTTGTGGCTGGAAAGGAACCAGGTCCAGAGTATACCGACAGGGAGGCAGGCCATT